CACGGAGCAGCATGTAGGAAGACGGAAGGAAAGGTGGAGGGTATTTTCACCCGAAATCCCAACATTTCAACACATGCAGAAGGTCAAGGCAAGAGCTGGATTACATGCATTCAATGTTAAAAACTTCCCAAACCGCGCTGAACGCCAGCAAAATATTGCCAAAACTGACTTCCAACAAATACCAGGACAGGAGTTTTACCCCGGAAAAGTTAAGTTCCAAGTAAATAATCATTTCAAGAAAAAGTAAATTTCGAAATTTGCATCAAAATACCTTATTTGGCAGGCTATCTGCACCTGTGGAAAAAGATATGAAAAAATATTCGTCACAAATGGCACCATCAATGGTGAAATTTACAAAAATGAATGCCTTGACGTCTGCTGCCATTTTTGAGGCAGCACAGTGACAAATCATTGTTTTGGCCAGACATAGCTTTATGTCACTATTCTAAAAGCATGCTGGAATGGTTTTGTACCCAAGGACTGAAACTAATGTTCTGCCCGACAACAACTCAGCAGCACGAGACTCCTTGAACTGTGTCTCAGAGTCGGCGCACTACTGGGCAAACTGGAGGGGCTACGCGGATGAAAAGGCACTCAAGCTTTCAACTAAACTGAAACACAACGCGGATCAATTTAATCACTGTATTTCTCCAATTACCGATAGTGTGGATTGTGTGGTGTTGTGTTCGATTTTATTGGCACATACCCTTGATGATGATGGCGACTACGACGACTGCAGACCAGCGAGCGCTCGCTGTGGTTCCGGAAAGATCCTTAAAGGCCGATCTTGTCGGCAAGATGGCGGTACCACCGCTCGGTGAAATTGCGGTACAATTCCGACAATGGCGGACGAAGCGAGGCTGACCGAACGTCGGCCGTAGTGCGATGGCGGGTTGGTTTTACCGGGCTGGTATAGCGGTTTGTGGAGATGGTTCCGATGCACAGGCGCTTCCTTCTGACGAAGCCGGTCGACGACGGCAAGGCCGCCCTCTGTCGCACCGGGAAGGGAAATTCTCCTTGGCGTTTAGGGCCTTCAGCCCGAGAACAATGTCCTTTACGGTTAGATCAAGGTAACTCAATGTCACCTAGACCGTAGCGTGCAATGGCGGTCCTTGACTCGCCAACCAGAAAACCATTTGATTGGTTGAAAAGAAAGGTCCTGAATCAGCTGAATTGGTGATTTCCACTTCACCTTGATTCACTACTCGCACTGTATTCTGTTGAAATTTATTCCACAGACACTTCTGGTCTACACGCTCGCCTGAGATAAAGTGCACGATGGCCGTTCTCTAAGCATCGCAGAACCCTTCAGCTCATCACCCGTGACTCCGTGTCACCATTTTGCCGCGGCCATGCGCGCCTTATTCAGCAGTCGGCCGTTAAGCATGGCCGTGTCGTCTGCCCAGTGGGTTTCACCGCAAGTGTTTCACAAGTTTATTTGAATGCTCGACATGGTGCATATTTAAAATATTGTATTGAACCTTTGTAACAGAACGGTTACAGGACATGAATTCACTGAACTGTCCAGAACTACGCCCAATCGAAATCTATTGGGCCATGATGAAACGGAAACTTAGAAAGACCTTAGAAAAAAGTAAAGGATGCAAATGACATGCAGAGCAAATTGACAAAAAATGAGAAAAAGGTACCGGATTCGATTGTACAAGCTTTAGAGAAAAACTAACCTATGGCTAAAAATCTCTTAAAAAAAGAAAAGAAAAAAACGAAAAAGATTGTACAAGCTCTTATGGCTTATAGGTCAACCGGTGCAAACTAACGATTTAAAAATGGCTCATTACTTGACGTACCTATTGGTCCGAAGCAAATCGATTACCGTAACCCATTCTAGTACAAATTTTAGTATTACACAATGTTTGTTTTGATTTGCTATGAAAGTTTGACAGATAAAATGAGGGGTTCGTAGATTTTCCTATGTTTCGAGGGGTGAATCGATTAGCTTGGAACCGAAGAGAGTACCAGAGCTGCGCAAAAAAGTTGAGCACGTTTCTTCGGGGCCTTCTAGTCCTAGAGTTACCTCTATGCTCTTATGAATGGCGTGAAGCAAAAATGTCGGGCATTCCAAACAACTCCTGAAAATTGAGCTAAATATATGTATAGAAGCACCCTGCAAATTTAGTTTTAATCTGATAAATACGTGAAATTTGAGACTAGATTCAATGTGTTGCAATAATTTCGTGTTTGCCCTTTATTGCGTTTTGTTTCTCATTTTACATATAAAAGGTGATGACGAACGAGACTTGCAGTAAGCTATTACTTTATGAATGCTACAGTGCACTGTACTAAAGGCTGTGTTCCATTTGGTTAATTTCACTTAAATTTGAAAGATGCAAAATGTTCAAATAAACCTGCTACTGTACCATACTAACACACTTAGAAATAAGTACTTTTACACGAGACGTAGTCCATATTTGACGTAAATCATCGAACGCAATCAAACATTTTATGTAAAATTAAGTGTTCTTATAACACATAAACATAAGCAAGTCCACGAAGAGAACGTTTAATTGAATTGATATTCTCGTTTATTTCAACTGATTCTTATGCCAAACAGACCGCGAACATGTGTCGGTCTCAGGGAGCTGAAATTTACATGACTTTTTAGCAGTATGTATTTCTGAAAGATTAGGAATCAATTTTGACAAACACGTTCTCGAAAATCAAACGATCAAGAACTGACGGATTTTCGAAAATTTTAATTTATATTCGAAGTTTTAAGTTTAAGTGAAAATTCACCAAATGGAACCATCTGGTGACAACTCGGATCCAATGACCAGCTAATATATCAGAATTCACCATTTTACTACATTTCATTTATTACTTCTAAGGACAGCTAATATATAAAAAATCACCATTTTACTACATTCCATTTAGTACCAGAACAAATCAAGGCCTACTTTGATCAAATTTACATAGAACTCCATTTTACAGATGTTCGTGATCTTCCGGCGGACAATTTGGTGACGACTTGGAGCTAATGACCAACTAACCTCGTAGCTAACATATAACAAAAACAGTTTACTACATTCCATATAGTTGCAGAGAAAAATCAAGGCTTACTACCGAATTGCAAGAACAATTTGGATGGAATGGATCATGCAGTGGTGGCGGTTGGATACGGAAAACTTAAAGGAGAAGATCAGAGTTGCGACCTATCACAATCACAATCGCCAAACAGCTGATGGCAGTAACGCTTTGTACATTCCTATCAATGTACTCGTCGAAGCTCTCTCCATGACCATCCATCAAGTTGACGAAAGAAGTAAAAAGCAACTGGTGAATGTCGTCTTCTGTTGTGATCCATCACCGATCTGGTCATTCCCGACAATTACGACACTCATCTGTGCTCGTTTTGAAGCAGTTGCTGCTTTGCTTACTTATGTGAGTGTGTTGGTGAGTGAGCCCAACAGCTTCCGTTTCATGTTGCCTGCTTTGTTTGTAACTCACACAGTCGTGCCTGCCGAGACGAACTTGGAATGCGTAGGCATTGTTTTCATTTCCTTCTGTCGTTTCGCTTTTTCTCATGATCGTACTGCAGAAGTCAGGCATAACATTTCTAGATAAACATTTCAAAAGGTCCTATCAGCATTGAACGGTTCTCTTCATCGACTTTCTCTTCCATTAATAACTCAACTTCAAAAGCATTCCCTGCTGTGTTCAACGTTCTAAGCACAAGATAGGAACTGCTGATATCAAACTGTGTGGCAAAATTAGCACCAAATGCATTTGCGTAGGCGTGGTTATCAAAAGAAAAAGTCGATGAAGAGAATCGATCAAAGCAGATAGGACTATTTGAAATGTTCATCGAGATTTGATAACGACACAAAAGCATTTGTAAACAAACTTTCTAAGGCCCTTTACACGCGAACCAAAGTACGCCCACGCAAACCAACGACATCATCGGATAGGGGCAACTATCACCTTTCCGAAAGTGGGCGTACTTTGGTTCGCGTGTAAAGGGCCTTAGAAAGTTTGTTTACAAATGCTTTTGTGCCGTTATCAAATGTTATGCCTGAAGTCTTCACTGTTTTCGTTGTGCTTTTTATCATCAGCAGCGAGTGTAACGTTTTGCTTGTGAGCAGCGACCATTACTAGTGATTGTTGTTTGCCATGGCTCTAACTCTCACTGCGTGACAAAACGATCTGTCAGCGATAGTGAGTGTCATGATATTTTGCATCACTGGAGAAGATTACTGGCTAATCAAGAACTCCTGATCCAACTACTGGGGCAACTATTAATATACTTTGATAGTTGTGAAGAGTAATAACTGTGGCCTTATCGTCGATGCAACGAATGTTAATTTGAAGTTAGATTTCGATTTTAGTTTGAACTGAAGTAAAAGAGTAGTTTTTTTTTTTCGGATATGTGTCATCTTATACGAGATGGAATAAATGGTTTTCAATTTTTGTAACAAAATTAAAAGTTAATTAGGTTGAGTGGAAGCAAAAAAAAACCGTGTCAATTGGTCGTCTACCAAACCAAACTCATTTGAATAATACCAAACTAATTTTCACAGCACAATCACACGGATTTTTATTGATTCAACTTAATCTAATCAACTTACAATTTTTAAGCTGAATTTCACTTGTTGAGGTACTACGATCGAATTCTCTCGGAATTCCAACCCGATGGTAAAACCGAACGTCTTAGTTTGAGATCCTTCTACTTGGCATAAACCATTCTGACGTCGAAAACCTCCGAGAGCTTCTTGCCCGAAATCATCACCTTCAGCAGTTCCACTTCCAGATTGAGCAGTTAGGTGTAGTGCTTCTAAATCGTTTCCGTCGGATTGACCAGCAACGTTCAGACGACATTGGAGTAGTAGGACTTGTAACGCGTACTCAGAGCACAAATGTTAGATCCAAAGTGCAGATAGTTCTTGTCGCTGAATGCACTGAACTTCAAGCTGTAATTGCCACCCGACTGGATAATCGCCGGGTAGCACATGTCCAACTAGTTGGTATCTACACCGGAGACGTACCTTTTGTCCGTCAGTGACTGCTCGACACCCTCGGACAGTTTGGCATGTTTTACTTTCTTATCAGCATCCATAATCTCCATGATGTGATTCTTGAGGTACTTGTTAAATACGTGTACCGTCTGATGGTGATAACATCGGAGTCCTCCTTGGAGGGTATGATGTACGCGTTTGACGCTGATGTCCACCGTGTCGAAGCTCTTGTCCTTGATGAAGGCTCGCCACGATTCACAGAATTCACCCGGGAAGTTTTCCTTGGAGAAGACGCGCAACGTTTTGCCATCCTTGGATTCCTTATTTGCCTCCAGCAGCTTTTCAAAATTGGCCTTGCCTTTGTCGTTCTTTTCCCGAACCAACAGCTTCACCGACGGAATGCCCTCCTCACCGTCCTTCTCGATCTGCTTCAGGAAATCGACCTTCTTCTTGCTGGCCAGGAAAAAGATTGACTTTTCGCACAGTACCGTAATCGTATCGATCAGCTCTTATCCCAGCAGCCCGGTCGTCAGCGAGGTTGATTTGCTGTAGATGGTTTCCTCGTCTACGCCAACCGCCGTCAGAATGAAATCCACCTTTTGCAGCGAATCATCATGGGAAAACTCTGGTTCCTTCCAGCTGGCGTAGGGGCGTTTTATTCGTCGGTAGAAAGAATCCTTATCGAGCACGATATTCGACATTTTTGGGGCCGTTGCGATTGCAAACCTAAACATTCAAGCTGGCTACTGGAAGAAGAAATACTGGGTTGCCAAATATACCATACTATTCGTATTTTGTTTTTAAAAATCACGGCTTGCTCCATGCCCGGCACTGCCGGCAAAATCGACACACCAGCGGTACACTTGCGGCACACTGAGAATTTTTTTGACCCAAATTGGTGTGCGGAGCAGCGTTGCCAGATATACCGATTTTCAAACTTAATACCGATATACAGATAACGTTTCTCAGAATACCGGTTTTTGAGTTTTAATACCGATTTATACCGATTTTTTTTATTAATAATCGAAATGATTACTGCCTGCCCGCGCTAAATTGTCAGAGACTTTTATCTTTTTGAAAATTAAAATTTTTGAGCCTGCTCTTAAAAAAATGTCTTATGCTTCATTTTCTTTCGACTAATGCTGATGGCTCATCCCAGCAATTTCTGGAAATCGGGAAATACTTTTATTCCGTGGAAAAATAGGTCCATAAAAATGTTACTTCTTGAACTTCCTGAAATTTCTTTAATCTTCCATTTGAAGTTTCTTCCAACTTTCCCTAAGAATTTCCGTCCACCTTACCCTGTAAGTTATTTTCCCATTCCTTCCGGAATGCTACTTCGACTTCCCTTGGAAGTTCTTCTGGTTTCGCTCGAATGGTTTTTCCGTCTCCTGCCGTCAGTTTTTTCAACTTCCCCGGAACTTCAGAAATGCTTCCACAGTTTTATCTTTTATTGCGTTTCCATTAGTTTCAGGAAAACTTCAGGAACTTTTCAGAAGTTCTGAAGCTTCAGAATAGTTCGGACTTTTAGGTAGGTCACGATAAATTATATACAGTTTCATTAACTTCTGTTGAAATCCGAGAACCCGGGAATCTCAGGAAACCAAATGATCTTAAGGAAACTGAAATATTTTAGAAACTTCCCAAGCCCAAAGAACTTCAAAGAAATTTTATGGTTTTCAGGATAGTTTCATATGTTTCAGGAGGATTGAGATAACTTCAGGGAACCTCTGAGAACATCAGAACAACATATAAATTCCTGGAAATTTCTGAACCTGTGAAATGAGCTCCGAGAAACTCAGGAAATTTCCGAAAACTTCATTTAAGTTCCCAGCGGTTCATGAAAATTTTGGAAACGTAAGGGAAGTTGCATGAACATTAGAACATTGTGAGAACATTTTAAGGGAAGCTCTGTGTTTTTTATCGGCAGTTTTGAGAACTTTAAAAAAATTAAGAAATCGTATTTATCGAGTTCTCCCAGAAGTTTCTTTCGTCTTCCTCTAGAAGTTTCTCCATAAGTCACTCTTCGTAGGTTTTTTTTCGGACTTATTGTAAGGTTTTTCCGAACTTCTCCTAACATCCCCTGGAAATGGCTCCTCCGTGAGTTTCTCAATATTTGTCTTGGAAGATCACCATCCGATGTTTTTTCGACATCTTTTAGAACTTTCTTCAAACTTCCTCCACGAGATCTGATTTATTCTTCCTCTGGATTTTTTGTCGGTACGATTAAGAGACTAATTTAAATATTTCCCAGAAATTTTTTCCGACTTACATGGAAAGTACATCTTTCGATTTTAGTCCAAAAGTTTGAAACTATAAAACACACGACTTTTATTGCCCTATGAACACAAAGCACCAAAAATTGCGCACACCCGCCACTTCTCGCATCATCCTCAATCCAATTTATTCTTGCGATTTCAAACCAAAACATTCAAGGTGTCAGTAAAACCGGGTTTCCGGGATGGGTATTTCACAAACAATCACAGCTTGCTCTATGACCGGAACAATCGGCACACCTGTGGCACACTAGCGGCACACTGACAAAAAAAGATATCCCAATATTGGTGTGCGGAGTGAGCTACCCCTTGACGCAGTCCCTTTTTCTCTGCTGAGGTCCCTCTACTTCGAGCAGCTAGAGTGTGTTTCGTGGTTGATGGGGGTTTACGCTGCTGTGTGAGGAACGAAAGGCGAGAGTGCTGTTTTTAACACCGGTTGAAGAAGTAGCGGCAGCATGTCTTTGGGGGATCTTCGAAATCATCGTGCTGTCATGGATTCCTTTGCAACATCGGGTGAGATCTTTCTTTTAACTTTCATTCCATTAATATTTATATGAAACATTAAATACTGGGTACGGGATGGTCCACCAGGGCACACGACTGAAGTGAAATGGAAGGGGCGGGTGAAAATGCTGTCCTTGTCTTTAACATTTCGTAAAAAGAGGGCGGGCTCTTCTTCCAACTCATTGGGACATCCTCCTGTAGGATGGCCTGTTTTTTGACCGGTTGTATGATCCTGTTGTTGGAAGGAGATTCTCACTTATATCGTGGATGCACGTGGGCGATTTTGCCCACGGATTCACCCAACCCGTTTTTGGCCTTTTGGCAGGTTGAGTACAATTAGAAATTATTAAACTTGATCAAGTCGAACAGCGAGGATAGTCCACAGTCTAACGACAGTTGTCTTGCTACAGTAAGTGGTAGTTACATATCATCATCATGATCATCATGATCGAGGGGGGCGGGGGGAGGGGCGCGGGGGGGTGGCGACACATCTAAATCTCAATTCTAGATGCTCAACTAATCTCACACTAGCGAATCAATCTTCGAAAAATCTTCTTTCATTTATCGCATCTAGTGACATCGCGCATCATCTTTTAGCAGGAAATCTACAGAATCGTCATCAATCTTCCTTTTATCCAGTCATCGTTCACGCAGCTAATCACAGCCAAACACATTTTTTTCTGCATCGTTCATGATGTTAATTGGGCTTGAAACCATCCATTTGGACAAAATCATTCGAATTTTCACAAGTGATGATCTTCTTAAGGTGGCCAAACTGCCCCACTTTCCCCAATAGAGGATAACAAGAGCTTTTAGTTTTCCAATATTTGCCAGCTTTGCTACTTAAATACTCCGCCGTGCAATCGCTGAAGGCAAATGAAGTCTGAGAATTTCGCCTCCGTCTTGCCGAGTTCTAATTGGTCTCTCAATTTACGAGCTATTCATGATCTACTGAGCCGCTGAATAGGTCGAGTTTGGTTACACAACAATGCACGGCGGAACAGTGGTGTAACAATCCAATCAGCAAATTTGTCAATCTCGTCACGTGGCCAATTTTTTTTTCGCTCGCCCCCTAATGATTCTTAGGAAATATGGCTTTCTGTGGAGTGCCACCGGTTTTGTTATAGATGCTGTAGACATGTTTACAGCGAATATGGAAAAGCGTATGCAAATTAGGAAAGCAACGAAAACTGTCGCCGTTCGGGGGTGCATCCGTGATGATGATGATTATGGAGTGCGGGAAGTAGGTAAGAGCCGAGAAATGGTCGCTTGGTCGTGCAGCTTTTGTGGCATAGTCGCAGCATATGGAACATGAACGACGAATGTTTGGATAGAGCTTATGGAATAACGATGTTATTGTTGATGATGATGATGATGATAATGGTAATCGTGTTTGTTAGGACTGTAGGACTGAAGATTGGCATCGTACATGTCTTCTTGGAAGTGATTAGTTTACGTTTTGCTGCATTTTGTTTGTGCACTATCCGATTTGTTAGCAGCACGAGTGAAGTAAGTAATTGGAAAACTAGTGAATTCAGAGGCAAATTTGAGGTTGTGCTTTTTTTCATCGCTTCCAGCACACGGGCCGGTGAGGGGATTCAATTGAATTCGATTCAAAATTGCAAAAAACTAGGGTTAGCCCAGTGGATGAGTAAAATTTTCCTCGATTTTTCAGATAAAACTTTGTAACCAGTTGGTTTCAATCCTATGATTTTTATATGTATGATTTGTTGTTGAGTCGGAAAATTCACGTTTTTTAGAATTAAGTCAGAGGCACACACAGCAACGAGAGAGTTAGTACCGCTGCCAGAACACTTGTAACCCTCGTCTAGGGTGACAATTAATAACCCACCCTTTTAACGTGTCGCACGCTCGGCAACATACTCACCATTGCTTTATTTGTAAATATTTTAATTTGTTGTTTTCTTAGTAGATTTTATTCGTGTTTTTAGGATTAGTATATAATGTAAAAATTAGCGATTTAAATTGTCTCGCGTTTAAAATAAAATTAGGTCCCGTTTCTCCTCCCACTGCAAAAGAAGGCGAAAAACATAAGTAGCACAACATTCGAGTGCGGTTGCAGGAGAACGATGGCGGTTATTGTATTGTCGGTGATTGTCAGCTAGTACGGAAAAAGAAAAAAGTTACGAGCCACGGTAGGAAATCGATGCGTTTTTTGCCCCGTCCGTTTTAAGTGAAAACGAGAAGTTGGAGTGCCGTTTTCGTGGCGTGTGTCCGCTGGAGGGATAATTCCCAGCAACGTCGGGCGATATTGACGTCGTTTTCCCGAAAAGTGCCGTGGTTCATGAGCAGAAGCGAAGGGTGTCGGATCGCCGCCAAGGGAAGCTAAATTTCAAGGATTTTTCCGCTTCCTGGCTAAACCCCTAGGATTCCCGAACACCCACCAGTCTCGCCACCGCAGTTAAGAGCCAAGGAGGGACGAAGCAGGCCGAACCGAAGGAGCGTTTGCCTGGGTAGTGCACTGCGGTGACTACCGGGACCATCTACGGTGAGTAGTTGGTCCGGTTATTCGTCACCATCGTCGCCGGGGGGTTCCGATAAAACATCCTTGCTCATCCCCCCCGCTAAACGCCAAGGACCACTGCTACGCAGCTAAAGTGAAGTAGGAGACGCTCGGCACAGACCGTGTCTGGAGCCGACGTGAACAAACAGCAACGGCCGCCGCTATCGTCGAAGGGCCCCACCTAGTGTCACCGAGAATCAGCGAGGAGAAAGGGAAGGTCAGATTAGTTAATAGACGTCTTAAATTTCATATTTCTTTCTCTTTTTCTATTGTTAACGCCCAAAATCCAAACGTCTTTAGGGGAAGTACTCTGCTCGTAGCCGCCCCGCCGGGGTTAATCGGGCCTATAGCTATAGGCTGGCAAGTAAGCTGCAACTTACACACTCAAACGATACTG